AAACAGAGCTGCCCAGTAAACGGTTGGCAGAGAGGGAGAAGTATGTCGTCAAACAGAGCTGCCCAGTACACGGTAGGCAGAGAGGGAGAAGAGGACAACAAATGAGGGGCTGTGACAAACTGCTTCGTAGGGGTTTCACGGACAAATCAGGAGGCTGAACCCTCAACAGTCTGCAGAATCCCCTAACTGATTACACTGTATGTGATAATCCACCTTAACCCGGGTTGTGGTTATGGTTAAGCATCATCGACTGCCTGACAACTGATACCCTTAGGTGGGCACCAACCACTGCCCTCAAGGTACCTGTGAAGAAAATCAAAGCAGAATATCACTAACCCACACCAGATAGAATACTGTACAGACTTTTTTTTTTTTTTTTCGCCCGCCCGGGCAAGTGGTCCGATATGCTTTTTTTTTCTGAAATCAACTGTATGATGGGACGCTGGCCCCGGTTCCCACCAGCAGAAGCTTCCCACCAATGGACTGGAGCCGCCGGCGAGGGTCTCATCAGAGGTGGATGGTCTCATCACCTCACCTCCTCTACTGGGCCGAAGCTTCAAAAAAAAAAAAAAAAAGGCCGTTAGATTATGGGCTGCCCAAATAGATCGGATTTTTCTATTCTAAGGTGGAAAGGAAAATGAAGAGTGCACTTGACGACTGACGAGCCAGTCACAGCCCAGTTCTTCAGATGCATGAGGCGCCAGAGGAACAAAACCCAGCAGACAACTTTTCTAGTGCTAGCCACCAGCAGCAGCCGCAGAAGAAGAAGAAGAAGCAGAAGAAGAAGAAGAAGAAGAAGAAGAAATAGGAGGAGGAGGAGGAGGAGGACGAGGAGGAGGAGGAGGAGGAGGAGGAAGAGAAGGAGGAGGACAAGGAGGAGGAGGGGGAAGGGGAGAAGAAGAGAAGGAGGAGGAGGAGGAGGAGAGAAACAGGTGAAAAAGGAAGGAAGAGGAATAAGAGGAGAGGGAAAAGAAGGAAATGCGTAGGAAGAGGATGAGAAAAAGATGAAAAAGTTGGGAGGAGGAGAATATGAAAGAATGTGTTGTTGTTGTTGTTGTTGTTGTTGTTGTTGTTGTTGTTGTTGTAGTAGTAGTAGTAGTAGTAGTAGTAGTAGTAGTAGTAGTAGTAGTAGTAGTAGTAGTAGTAGGAGGAGGAGGAGGGGGGAAATGACAACGACTATGACGACGAGGAGGAAGAAACGGAGTACAATGATTAAGGATGATAAAAAGAAGAATGATGATTGACCATGGTTATGAGGAGGATGATGGTATTGAAACTGAGGAGGGGGAGGAGGATCTATGTGCCCAACCGAGAGAGAAATTTACAGAGGGGACAAAAGCAGCAGCGGCGGGGAGGAGAAACATACAAACACAGTCGATGTGGCAACACGGTATGTCATCACCGCCCACTACTGACGAAGATAAGAAACAACGCAGTAAAGTAAGCCCAGAAAATATACAATTAAATTTTAAAAGCGACAATTAAAAAAAAAAAAAAAAAGGGTTTCGA